TGCAGGAAATGAGCATCATCACCGAGAAGTGATTCGTTTTCATGGGTGTGTGTATTGAGTTGGCGGGCCCCTGACTGCAAGTGTATTTCTGTTCAACTGCATGCTCTCTATATGAATGATGCATGTCAATCATTGACAACATGGCTCAACCTGTCAGTGTAGCATGACACCAAGATGTCCGGAATGCTTTTGCAGTGCTGTCTAACCACCATGTGGCCCTTCAATTATGGTTATCATGTCAGCCTGCTCAGCTTCAATTCAATCATGCCAGCTAGAGCCGCTCCCATCCACACACACACACACACACACACACACACACACACACACACACACACTACTCAGCACTCTCAGATCAGACATAAATGCACAAACACACTACTTCACTCTCACTGTTCAAATATGCTAAGAGGTTGTTTTTCCATATGTGTTTACCATAGATCTTACATGTACTATGTCAGGCGCATACTAGGGTTTTTTAATTTCTGATCAATCATTTGCACTTTGAACAAACATTCAAACTCAAATGACCTACCTGATCTCAAATTGTACTGTAAGGTCTTTACACACAATTTGCGTATCAGTAAACTAATAAATGAAAAAAGAGGTAATGTTGAAATGATTACCAACTATTTTTAATTCTACACTATAAATGAATGAGGTGACTCACCAGCAAAGGTGTGGCTGTTTGCTAACTGGGTAATAAGCAGATGCTGTCCATATACAGCTTCAAAGCTGGGACAGCGGCTGCTATTTTTTGTGAATGAGACCTGGCTTTGTGCCCAGCTACACGACAGAGGGAAAAAAGCTCAGCATTATGCAAATGTCCTCTGAGGCTGTGTGAGTGACAGTCAGGTTAGAGCCAATCAGGATCCAGTTGATTACATTTTTTAGTTTTTACTGCTTCAGTCTAATTCTCTCCCAGCTAATAATAACGCTTGTTTTGTTGAGGTATAACTCAAGCAAATTTCAAAATGTTAGAAATCTTTCAAGTCTGTTCAAATCAGGTCACAATAATATGCCGCCTCATCAATAGTGCGGTTTTAGGAGACTATTTTCTTGGTGGATGAATCCACATTTGGTGCTCTGGTGAGTATAGCAGCAGTGTGGAGTAGATGGGATTCAGGGCTTGTCTACACTACTTCAGATATTTTTTTGAATGGATATTTTTCCTCTCCATTAAAAAAAACCAAACACTGTTCACACAACTTTTGCTTTACGAAATATTTCAGTCCAGACGGAAACACAAAAATGTATACAAACACTCCAACAAGCATGCCAGACCAGTAGGTGGTGATTAAGTCCACATTAACAATCTACACCAGAGAAGAACACTGGTTCCATTGGATGAGGGAGAAGCCTACCAAAGCTGGTAATGTGGTGCAAAAAGGCTAATTTTACCTGCAAACTTGTCATTAGACGTAGAAGTGCTAACCAAACGTGGATGAACCAGTACATAACCACCATTGTTGTTGTTGTTTATGGCGCATGCTCATTACACAATGCAACAGTGCACGGGTGAAGTAAGATGTGACGTCATCATTTCCCAAACGCTCTTTACTTTGGAATGCGTTTGCAAAAATCTCACTTTTAGTGACTTAAAGGTACAGTGTGTGACATCGAGTATTGCAGCTGAACACCCCTCACCTCACCCTCTCCTTCCAAACATGAAAAAGAACCTGGGGTAGCTTCAGTTGTCATAAAAACTCAAAAGGTGTTTAGTTTGTCCAGTCTGGACTAATGTAAAAAACATGGCGGCCTCCGTAGAGAGGGTCCCCTCCATGTAAATATAAAGTATTTAAATATAAAGGGCCTTTTCTGGGGTAAAGAAAACTACAATTCATGCCAATAGTTCCCTTTCACCTAAATCTTACACACTGGACCTTTAAAACACTGTTTACATGTTGTCTAGTGGCACGAAAGCAGAGAAAAAAGTTTGTTTGGTGAAATACCTGCATAAGTGTGGACAGGGTGTGAATCTACAGAGTGTGCTCATGGTAATAAAGGAACACTGGTGTGTTTTATTACTTTTTAGACAATGACTGAGCTCTCAGGTTTTGGATATATAATCAATACATGTTCAATTTTTATACCGTATTCATTGTTCAATTGATTTATGAATTGGATTCATTGAAGGAAATTATATACGTTTATAGAGTACCACCAGTCTTGTGCTTTTTAGTGTTGTCAAACTTCAGTTATTTGAAAAAAATCTGCATTCAATATAAAAAAATAAATGGACTCGGACAAGTTTAAAATCTGGTCTGAGCCAAATTTCAAAATGAATAGTGGGGAAAAAGTGGAAAGAAGTCAACATTGCGGTTTGCTTTGGGACGTATGTGACACTAAGAGAAAAGAGTACTGAACATAAAAAACACTGGTATGGTAGGATGAACCCATGAGGATGCATATGTGGACGCACATACACACACACAGATCTCTGCATCATTTCCAGCAAGACCAGACTAATTCCAGTGAAGGGCATCTATTATGATTTCCACCGACTGCTTACCCATCTCAGGATTTGCAGCTCAGTGACTTCCAGTGGGAGGGGCCGGGGCGTTGATGAGGGGTTTGGGAGTTGGCAGTGGCTCTGTTTACTGCAGTGAGGTTCCTGACACAAACCCCAATAGAGGGGCCAAATAAATCTCTGTGCCATTATGTAAGAGAGGCCGGACCATCCCCTGGTGGAACGTGCAAGTGCCCAGGGACTTTCTACTGCGTAACAGCATCCTCCATCCCTACTCCCGCCCTTCCCCACCAACCCCCAACACTCCAGCCCCCTCTCCTCTCCATCCCCCACAACAACAGCACTATTCCCGCACTCGCTTTCTCATCCGGTACCAAGGGATTCTCTCTGTTTACTCCACAGACAATCAGTGATGACAGAATGAAACTGGTCCAGCAGCATTCTTTTGAGCAGTAACATGCAGGACATGGATGATGTGAGAGGATCACAGAGAAGAAGATCAGTTCTATAAGCCCACAATGATCATATGTGAACATTCTACAGCCACGTCAGGTACATGGAAATAAAACCGCAGAACTAAAGATCCACTCAATCAGTTAAATATTTATCAACAGCAATTTTGACCTTACTCATAAAGAAATACTGAGCCTTTGCTGGTTCAAGTTGGTGAAGAGATATTGGCAGATTGTCGTAGTTAGGGCTCTCGTAACTTGTCATCGATTTAAAGACGAAACAATTCATTTAATTAATCCAGGGCAGCAGTTTTTAATTGCATTCCCATCTGCCTGGGCAACAGTGATGCATATCAAACAATAAAAACTGTAAAGCTCCAGCACAATTTAAAAGACTGCTATCATTCAAGACTGGAGCCAATGTGTGTGCACAACTCTTTGCTGGTTTCATACTACAGTTTCAATCCCACGAATGTGCAATAAAACATTAAGAAGGCTGTACAGATTATGTATTCCAATATTTTGTCGATTTTTGAAATAAATAAATCCAACCCCTGCGATACACAGGACATTTCACTGTTCTTTTTCTACATTTAAGTTTATGAAATACAAAGTATAAAGTGTGTATCACTGTGGTGATGAGGGGTCTGTTCTACATAGCAAGTTCAAGTTACCCAGAATTTCATTATTGACTGAACCTACATTAACCGTCTATATAACCTGTACTGCTGCTGGTTATGAGCTGGCTCAGGTAACCATGGGTTTTCATATTTAGCTACGGGCTCGTTCGTGTGAGACAGTTGCAGACGTTTACAATTACATTATGAGAACAAATGCTGACACCTGCATGTTAATTCAGATATATAGATATGACATAAAAGTGACATTTAACAAAATCAAATGTAAATAATAATTACTATGAGGTCAGTTCTGGGTTCCAGTGTTGCACAGATATTGTAATTCAGAAATTCTGTCAGGAATCCAAAAATCTTGCCAATATTGATTAGCCTATGTATTACTTTAGTTTGATTAACTCTCCCTCTCTTTGTCTGAAGCTCTGTTCTAAAACCTGAATGGACCCATGAAAAGTCGGGTAAAACCATTATTAATATCTTCTCCTCCTTTTATTTCTCATTTTACTGTAAACTTTTTGTCCCTGTCAGGATACTGTAACATGTCTCCAGTGATCTGATTGGTCAGTAGCTTTTGATCCAAGGTGATTTACGAAGAAGTGCACCAGCGACTTCGAACTTAAAACCCAGAATTTAAACTGAAGTTACTCCAATCACCACAGACCCTGCTTCATAGTGCAGGCACCTGGTGTGTTACAGGGTTTGAGTCTCTGAGAGACGTCACTGCGTGGAAATGAGGGAAAATTAGACAACCAGAGTCATCGCTTGCGATCAGAGCTGGAGCCATCCTACTTTATGAACGAGCACAGGTCTCACAGGAAGGATGTTACAAGCTCTAGCATGCACACAACACCAAACCAATCTCAACACAGGCAGTTCAATTGGAAGAAGAACTGAACTTTTTTCTTTGCTGTGTTTGAAGTCATGTGGCAGCATTTTAGAGCACATCTGATAACAAAAGGCTGGCAAGCCCCTGTACAGAGCTCCAGTGTTTCTGCTTCATGGTCAACATCTGTGCCAGAGTACATGTGATGTAGGAGGCAGACTTTTGTCCCTCTTGATGGATATTTTGGTAATGGAGCACCAGAAAAAAAGTATTTATCTGAAATCATGTGTGTACAGTGATTTCCCTTTGTTCTTCTGCACATCGTCTGCTGACAGTACCACCTTAAGACTCAATTTATTCAGAGGAGAAGAAAACAGAAAACACCCTGCCATCTGGAACAGCTTGGCTCTACTGATCATTAGAAATGTAACACACAGAGAGAGAGAGAGAGAGAGAGAGAGAGAGAGAGAGAGAGAGAGAGAGAGAG